TGCTCCAATTTTTCCTCACGCGTACTCAGTCACGTGACCCGAGATCGGCGCATCTTTTGGTGCTGCGCGCGCGCCCGCGCGCGCTGAGCATGCAGCACATGAATAGTTGGGCGCGCGTGTGTTGTGGTGGAGGTGCGCAGCCAAAGATCGATCGATGTCTTGTGTGTGGGGCTCTGCGATAAGTACGCACTCACGCGCACAACCGTTGCGATCATTCTCACCTCCGTCGTACGGACTCGTCGTGCCTTTCCCTCTCACATCAATCGACCCTCAAACTGCCGAGCAGGCACGTCTATGTTCTTCTAGAAAGTAGGCAAAATGTTTCGCAGGAGTGAGTAGCTCGCAGCGAGGGTGATGCTGTGTATGCCTGTCGTGCACCAAGTTGGAACATATTCCCAGGATCGCTGGTGGCCCATTGCTGATCTCGTCGTTTACCTCCGCACACCTTCCTCCCTCTTGTATTGGCCTACAGTCTTTGGCGGTGGGGCTGGTGGTGAAAAGTCAGAAGACGTTGCCCGATTGGACAAGGCGTCCAGCTTTAGCGAGATCGACCATGGTGCCCGCAAGGTCGTGTGAGTCTGAGCGCACCAATGCTTGCGATGATCGCTGACAAAGGTCGATGCACGACTGCTCGCAGCTACGAGTCAGCAAGGGCTTTGATCCGCAAGACAACGCAGGAACACGATTATCAGCTGGTTGTGCTGGACGCGACGGACGAGAGCGATTTAGAAGAGCAATCCTACCTCTTGTCCAAAGAGATTCATTTCCAGCTCCTCCCTGCCGGTGCTGCAGGCTCGCCCATATTTACTTGGCTGGATCTCGCTGCGGAATCCAAAAGCATCAAGGTGGCCGAGCTCACGGCGGGCGATCAATCGCAGATGCTGGCGCTACATCAGTTCGAGCTTGCGGTGATCCAGTGCGTCTGGAGCAGAGCCAACCAACAGAGCTGGGATGCGGCCACAGATGAGCAGCTCGACGCTGTCAAGAAGGAAATGTGAGTGCTGAAGCGAGGCGCCCCTTTTGTCTTTGTTGATGATTTCTTTTTGGTCTTTTAGGAGCGCAGTCCCTGCTTCTCGCGGAGGCAAAGGCTCACGCGTAAGCGCAGGTGCTCCTGGCGAGGCGAACGAAAGGAGCGCAGAAGCGTTGGCCTCGTCTGTGAGCGGAATGCGAGTTGGCAACAAGCGCAGGAATGCGGCATCAAACATGCAGCCGAAAGCGAAGCCCGGAAGAAAGGGCAAACAGTCTGCAAAGAAGGTTGACGAGGGCGCGGATGTCGGAAGTGCGACCTCGGCAACCACATCTTCACAGCAAGAGCAAAGAGCTGGCTCAATCTCGCCAGTCGATACTTTCGAAGACGCGGAGCAGGGAGCCGACCCCGTGCCTCTCATCACCACCACTGCCGATCTCTACATTTACGATCCCGATCAGGGGCTGTTCATGACGCGCGAAAAGGGCGTTACAGCAGAGGTGTTTGAGAGCGGACGCTTCTTGTACTCGTTGCTAGTAAGCACACCTGACAAGGTGTGGGTGGAGCAGCCCATGACGGCAGAGATGAACATGTCGTTCGCAGCGCGAGAAAAGTCTGCGGTGTGGAATTTCTTCGACTCGGATAGGGCGTGCTACTCTTGGCTGCTGAGGTTTTCGGACGCGGATCGCTTTGACGAGTTCCAGCGGGGCTTTGCAAGGCTGCTTTGGGAAGCGCTCAACGAGGACAAGTGGGAAAAGGCCAAGGTGGAGGAGCAGAAGTACGTCATTGGAGCGTACGACGAGGATGCTGTCATGTCGGATGCTCAACAGAGCGACGGCGATGACAGGAGCGAGACGGAGAGGGCTGTGAGGGATG